GGCATGTTGTTGTTAAGCCAGGTTTCTGTTAGACAAAGAACAGCACAGGTCTTCATCTCTGTAGAAACATTCATCCGCAGATGTAACAAGTCCATTTTGTTATCCAGTGAGCGGACATTGGCCAGAAAGAAAGTAGGAATGGGTAACCTTCTAGCCTTTAGCTGGGCCAACGCACCCACTGCTTCCCCTCTTTGGTTTTCAGGCACATCATGTCCTCTTGGCCGTTGCTTCTCGCACTTTGCTACACCATTCTGTTGTCCTCAAAAGCCGCTGTCTACCGAGTGTGGATTTCAGCCTCGGTGATATATTAACAACTGAATTGTCTCTGATGGCCATCAGTTCGGTTGAGGAGAGGCAGTGAGGGATGCTGTCAGCCTATTTGGCCTGTGGGACACCGGAAGCAACTGATGGGAACCGGCAGTCCTAGCGGCATGCGGCTCGGGTGGTCGCTGAGGCAAAAAACTCGAGCGTGGGAGGAGTTCGGAGAGGCCATGGAGAATGACTTAAGTGCGGCTTCGAGGCGATTGATGATGAGCTTGGAGTAAGCTGTTGGGAGAAGAATCTAAGATATAAACTAAGATACGCTAAACGAACACCAAATGGTACGATAAAAGGTCAGCATGAGATCAGTAGCATGGATAATCAGCAGCACATCTCAACAATAAAAGTTGCATTACACTGATTTTTTTTTTTACAGTGATAATCCTGATTAGAGATTCATAAGTCTAACAGCCTCAGGGTAGAAGCTGTTCCTCAGTCTAGTGGTTCTACACTTAATGCTCTGCAACCTCCTGCCTAAGGGGAGTGGGGCAATAAGTGTGTGTGGTGGGGTCCTTCATGATGCAGGTAGCCCTCTTCCTGCATCTGGAGGTGTAAATGTCTGTGATGGTGAGGAGACTGACTCCAACATCTTCTGTGCAGCCTTCACCACTCTCTGCAAAGCTTTTCTTTCTGCAGCTGTGCAGCTTCCATGCCACACGTTGATGCTGGAGCACAGGATGCTCTCCACTGCACACCTGTAGAAGGAGGTGAGGACTGAGCTTCCCAGACCAGCTCGTCTCAGCCTCCTGAGGAAGTAGAGTCTCTGATGAGCTTTCTTGATCAGGCTGGTGGTGTTATTGCTCCAGCTGAGGTTGTCATTACACCCAAGTATTTGTAACTAGAGACCACTTCTACCTCAGATCCTCCTATATTTGGGGGGGGGGGGGGGGGGGGGGGGGGGTGTGTTTGTTCCATCTGAAGTCCACAACCATCTCCTTTGTCTACTTCACATTGATGTGAAGGTTGTTCTTCCTGCACCAGCTCTCCAGGTGTTCCACCTCCTGCCTGTAGCTGGACTCGTTATTTGTGATGCATCCTTGTGATAAATGCTGCAGGTTTGAGAGGATATTACTGTACTTGTAGTATCCTAATACTTAGAGGAATTGATCTCTACCTTATCGAAATTCCTGAAGGGTAATCTCTTCCCAAACATCCCTAAGTTGCACTTACTGTCCACTTCTTCATATTTTCTTCCTGTATGCTGTTTTTTGTTTTAAATAGATTTATGTCAACTTGTCTTAATGTTGTAAAGCTTCAATGTTGTGTTTCACTTGTAAGTTGTTTCATTTAATCATCAGCTAACAGGATAATTGTAAAGTGTAGGTAAAATGTATCTTTTTCAAGTGGTAAAGACCCCTGAAAGACATCTAATATTAATGGTCTAGATTTTGCACACTGTAAACTGCAGCTCTTTCATATTATGTATGCTTTATTTTAGCAGTCATATTTAATGCCTTTATTCAACTGATAATATTGCTTCTATCTGACATTTTCTCTCTGATATACAGTATTTCTTTGGAAGGTCTCTGAACGTCTCCCACTTGTTTCGATGGGACTGCATCAGCCTTCCTGCTCGCTCCAGTTTTCATAACGCTTACATCCCACACCCTATAGGTTTATGGTTTTTGATCCTGCTGACAGATTCAGATTTTGTGAATGGAAGGGGTGGGAAATATTCTGCTTTAAATGAGGACAGTTTCCAAGAAGTGAAGTGACATTTATTTTTCAGGAAGTCAGCTTAAAACTTGTTCAATGTATTGTAGTATGTCAGGACAGCTTTCGCTGTGGACATCCTATTAATTAATTATTCTTAAGGCTAGTTCAAGCACAAAGAATATTAATTGTTTAATTAACAACGGATTCTTTCTTTTTCGAGTTAAATTTCTGCCATGTGACCAAGATAACTTGAAAGTGGAGTGTATAATTAGTGACATGAGACGTCATTTATCTTTGACCCATCAGAATAAATGCGGTCATTTATTTAACAGAATCATTAAAATTAACATCAAAACATGTACACTTGATTTGCTGATCTGTTTCTGATTAATAAACTTAGCAAGTTCAAATAACAAGACAACAGAGGATTACTGATGGAGAATAATTCATCTCTGAAGGCATTTAGCTTGATTTACTGGCAAAGAGGTTTCAAGAGGAGATTTAGAAGTTTAAAGAGGAGGATTTAGATGGATGAAGGAAAATGTGTTGACCAGGAATGGCACCCTTCATCCAACCCCAGCTCAGCCCTCGGTACACTCGGTGCGTGACGACTCGTTACCTTTGCAGAAGATAAATCAGCTCTGGTACAGAGGTCCATTTCACGCTACCTTTCAGCGTCTCCGGTCAGAATGGCTGGGAATCGTCCGAAGTAGTGACGGTACTCCGTTCAACAGAATAAGAACTTCCTTAGATGGAATCTTCATTAGAAGTTGTAGGGCGTTACGCCCGGGTCAGTTCACAGCGAGGCGTGCTGTGACTCCGCTGAAATGGATGGACCCTTGGCTCATGGTCAAATTCCATCAGCTATTGTTGTAGAGACTGTTAGACCTTAGCCTCCATTACGACTTCTGGTAAGACTTCCAGTAAGACTCCTGGTAAGACCGAATAGTTCCAAGAAGTGTTGACTTTTAAAGGGTATCCACTTCCTGTTACTTGGTACTTCCTGATTGGTTAATACAACCAGCAGGGGTGGAGTTTTAGTGATGTCAGAGGGTTATTAGAAGTTGCAGACAGCAGAAATGTTTTTAAGAACGGTTAGTACAGACAGGAAAATATTTTGAAGAAGTGACAGACTTGCAGATGCGCCAGTTTCTTATTTACTGTCTGAGAGTTTTAAAACAAGGCACTTCGTTCTCATAACTTGTTCTCTGACTTTTGACCGACATCAAATCCACTCCTCATTCAGACAGAAGAGTAAAATGCACAATTACTTTGTAAATAGACTTTTAACTTGTATGATCGAAGTCTAAGGAGGTTTAAAAATCATTAATACTGTTTCACAGTTGATTTAAATGAGTAGTTTACTTCAACATTAGAAATGGTATGAACTGAACACACTTTTGATTATCAAGATATTGTAAAATAGTAATGATAATATAAAAAAAGAACAGTGTTCTTTCAATTGATTAATTCAGGATACAATTAAATAGTCTCTTGATGAGATCATTTGTATTTCTGGATTCAAATCAATGAAATAACAGTTCCTGTCCCCTGAAGGTCTTCAGAGACAGATTGATGTAGGAGGTCTAGTTCACTACAGTATTTAGCTTTTTTTGGGAGAGGGGGAGTCAAAACAAGGTCATGAGTTCAACTTAAACTCATGATGATCTGGGACAGGAAATCCATGCTACTCTTTTTTTTTTTTTTTTTATCTAATGCCCTTTTTTCTCAAACTTTTGACTTCCTGTGCACAGAGGAAGTTTTTGTATAAACATGAACTTCAGAGGATGACTCAAAAAGCAAGAAGTCTGCAGATGTATCTCCAATCTTAGATATTTCCCAGATGTGAGGATGCGAATACTTTGAATTTCTAAAGAAAATCTTTGAGAGGGTGAAGTGTGTGGGTTGTTTTCCATTACTGCCTGTTTGAAAGCAGAAGATATGTAAGAATCAGAAAATGGATAAGTGGGGCTTCTTTAATTTTTTTCCTTTGTCCTTCTCAAATCTCTGACACCCTGAGGTCCCAAACCTTCACAAGTAAGGCCTCAAAACAGCCACTTGTATGGTGGTGACGAAATTCCAAACCTTGCTGGTTTATAACCGAGTAATCACAAACTAATCCTTTGCATTTTAATAGGCAGCAGGTTAACGTCTAAGGCCAAATCAAGCTCTGCATTAAAAAATGCAAGTGTTACATTGATGAGGGATGTTGCTTCAGGTAAAAGTTAGTCAACAAGAGGTACTAAACAGGATTCAATCTTTAGCCCACATTTAAAATGTATTAAATACCAAAACTCTTCAGACACATTCAGACTTACAAACTTTGTGATTGATATAATTGTTTTTATAAATAAGACTACCGTAAATCTTTTCAAATTGAGTACAGTTTAATTCAGAATGTTAAAATAGAGTGTAATAGAGATAAATTAGACAGTCTGTAAAAGGATCTTGTTTCCTTTGTGTGTGTGTGTGTGTGTGTGTGCTATGATTTGAAACATTGTAGCTTAACAATGCATCTGTTTTTGTTTAGTTTTTTTAATATCATTTACTTCCATTTATTTTTTCAGTTTATATGCTTTATTTTATGACTGTCCACTGTTGTCATCAGTCTTTGTTAAAAACAGGTCTCTTTTGTAAATGAGTCCTCGAGGCTCAGTGAGACTAACCTGTATAAATAAAGGTTGACTGAATGAAATAGCACAGCCATGGCATAGCAGAGAGGGAGGGGCAAGTGTTTGCAAGTGATATTTCTTCAATTTTTTTAAGCTGCTAACTTTCTTCAGGTTACCTTGTTTTGTCTTTACTGTTCACAGCATCTGTGTAAAAACGCCATCTTTGTTTGCAAAGTATGGGAAACATTAGTTGTTCCAGCAGCCTCCAGTTCTTTCTGGTAAAAATGTGTTCGCTCATTTGGGCTCAACTGTCTTTGCTTCAGGTCAGTTTAAATAAACAATCAAATTTTTGACATCACATTTTCTCTTTGATTTTTTTCTCTGCAGGGCAGGACAACAGGTGCTGCGAAAGGCAGGCACATGAGGCATGAAAGGGTGGAGCTGAGGCTCAGCTGACCCCTCCCCTTTCATCTTCTCCTTCCCTCTCGTACTCCACTCGATCAGCACACCCTCCCTCTGTTCTCCTTGACCCATCCTGACTCACACTGTTGGGACTCACTCATCCTTCCTTCCCTCCCAAGTCAGCCGTGCCCCAATGTACTCCCCGGAGCAGGAAAACATCTCTACCACCTCCTCCTCCAAAGTGCCAGTCAAGTATGGAGAGCTCATTGTGCTGGGGTAGGCAACAACTAATAAACTTGTCTTTTGTTTCCATCCTCAGAAAACAGTTTTAATTCTTTATTTGATTATTTTTCACAGTAAATATCCTTCAGTAAGTATATTCTGCAATCGACAAAGAACCCAAGATAAAGTGTCAAACCCATTCATCTGTTTATTATGGTCCTAAAATAATCAGGAAGTAGGAGCTGCAGGCAAAGATCATCCCATTAAATATGTTACTATACTAATTTGATGACATTATGATGAACAGATGAATAAAATAATTAAATACAGTCTGTCTTTAGGCATCTGTCATTGCTTGTCATAATTATGTAAACGTAAATTTCTGCTGAACCACACACACACACACACACACACACACACACACACACACACTACACACAACACACACACACACACACACACACACACACACACACACACACACACACACACACACACACACACACACACACACACACACACACACACACACACACACACACACACACACACACACACACACCCACACAAAAGATTGAGAGACAAGTCCCAGAAACTAAATGTTTGTTCAAGTTTCATTCCCAAAAATTTAACAAATCCATCAACACATATGTTTATCTTCTACCTTTTCTTGTATTTTATCAGTAAACCTCTCCGTAGAATCGCTACCTTAACGTGGTGGAGGGGTTTGAGTACCCTGATGATCCTGGGGGCTGTGTTGTCTGGGGCATCAGCCCCTGGTAGGGTCTCCCATGGCAAATTGGTCCCAGGAGAGGGGTCAGACTAAGAGCGATTCAAAACCACTGATGAAAAGTCACCAGAAGATGAGCATCTTTCTATTGCTGGGTAGCTTGGGCATTCTTCTTGGAGTCAGGCGGGGAGTGGCAGAGCAAACCTGGTGGTCAAACTAGGCTCCTAGGGCTTGGTCAGCCTCAAGGTAAAGAAACCAAAGGTCGCCACCGTTATGGTGGGGTCACCACTGGCTTGAAGGAAAACAGAGTTTGGGGGCTGTGTGAGCCTGATGGAAGCCAGGGACCTGACCGTTCTGATCCCTAAACTGAAATACGATGATGATGGATAAATTCTGATGGTTTCTGACATTTTACAGACATCTGTTAAGGAAAAACAAATAGCAGAATATCAATTAAAACTATGTTTACTTAAAGCCATATTTTTAAAAAAATCTAGAATTTTTTTAATCCCTATCCATTAAGAATAAGTAACTCGATTTGTGAATTCCTTAAAGCATTTGTTGCATTAGACTGTTTCTCAGTCACTGTGTTTTTGCTTGTGAGCTTTATGTTTTTGTTCTGATAATTGTTGAAGCAATCAAAAGTGATGGCAGTGTCATCACATCTTGTCTGCTTGATCAAGGCAGGACTCTGAGGCCTTTGTTGTGTGTTGCTCTTCTGTTTGTGATGTACAGAAGCAAGAAAGATCAAAGCTGATGGAGACAAATGAAGTAGGACAGCCATTGCTGCTTCTCATATTTTTGCATTGGAGGCATGATTACCGGTACTTGAAAACACTAACTAATATCTTGCTACAATTTTATCTCAACCTATTGTAGGTCAAACATGGTCAGATAAGAATCATGCAAAAGACAAAATAAACCAATCATCTGCTGTTCCTTCCTCTGCACAGATACGGAAAAGCCAGTTAAAACAGGTTTAGCTGACGTGCACCTCATGTAGTTGCACCTCTTTGTAGTGAACTAGGCCTCCGGTCAAACCTGCCTCTGAAGACCTTCATGGGACAAGAACTGTTATTTCATTGATTTGAATCCAGAAATACAAATTAGCTCATCCAGAGACTTTCTAATTGTATCCTGAACTAATCAATTGAAAGAACACTCTCTTTTTATATCATCATTACTATTTTACAATGTCTTGATAATCAAAAGTGTGTTTAGTTCATACCATTTTTAAATGTTGAAATGAACCACTCATTTTAAATCAACTGTGAAACAGTATTAATGATTTTTTTTAATCCTCATTCAAAGTAGAAATCAAGTTAAATGTCTATGTTACAAAGTAATTATGCATTTTTGATCTTCTGTCTGAAATGAGAAAGGAGTGATGTCGGTCAAAATTCGGAGACAGTCAAAAACAAGTTTATTGGAACGAACTGTCATGTTTTTAAACCTCTCAGACAGAAACAAGAAAACTGGCACCTGTAAGTCTGTCATTTCTCCAAAATATTTTCTCGTCTGTAACTAACCGTTCCGGCAGCACGGTGGCGCAACTGGTAGAGCTGCTGCCTCTCAGCGAGCAGGTCCTTGGTTCAAACCCCGGTCCAGGGGCCTTTCTGGGTGGAGTTTGCATGTTCTCTCCGTGCATGCGTGGGTTTTCTCCGGGTACTCCGGTTTCCTCCCACAGACCAAAAACATGCATGTTAGGCTGATTGGTAACTCTAAACTGTCCCTAGGTATGAGTGAGAGAGTGAATGTTTGTTTGTCTCGTTTGTCTCTATGTGGCCCTGTGATGGACTTGCGACCCATCCAGGGTGTACCCCGCCCCTCGCACAGTGATTGCTGGACATGGGCACCAGCGACCCCCGTGACCCAAAATGGATTAAGCGGGTAAAGATAATGGATGGATGGATGGAACTGACCGTTCCTACATTTCTGATGTTTTCTCGACTTGTAATAACCCTCTGACGTCACTAAAACCACACCCCTGTTGGTTCTTTCAACCAATCAGGACTTCCTAAAAGTGACCGGAAGCAGAACTCTTTAAAAGTCGACACTTCGTAGTTCAGTTCTGAAGTGAAAAGTTCTGAAACGAGTTCTGAAGGAGGAAGTTCAGTTCTGAAGAAAGAGTTAGTGAGTTGGAGTTCTTCTAGTTCTGATTGAGTTCTTCTGGTTCTGATGGAGTTCTTCTGGTTCGGAGCCACGACGCCTCGCTGTGGCTGCACCCGGCGAATGCCCTATAACTGCTGAGGAAGTTTGTTCTGTGGAACGGATTATCTCACGACTTCTGCCGAGTCGCAGCCGCCTTGAGGAGACGCTGAAAGGTAGCATGCCAGGGACCTCTTGACCGCAGCTGACTCATCCTCTGCCAAGGTAAAGAGTCGTCACGAGCTTCACTACCAGTGTACCGCGGGCGAACTGCGCTTGAAAGGAGCGTGTTGTTCTGGTCTACAGACATACATCCTCATCCGTCTTTTCTCTCCATTTAAACTCCTTCATTTCCCATCTTCAAACTTCTATCTTGCCAGTAATTAATCCAGATATCTTCAGAAATGTCTGTTGTTTTTATTAAGTAAAACGTGCCAAGTTTTATTAATCAGAGCCGATAGTATAATCAAGTGTACAATGTTTTGATGTTAAATTTTGATTCTGTTAATAAATGACCACATTCATTTTGATGGGTCAAAGAAAATTAACGTCTCATGTCACTGATTAAGACCATCTACAAAACAGTACCTCTGTCACATATCTGTCAAGTAGCTTGAAAAAGTGAGAACCCGTTATTAAAAATTGACTGTAGTGGAACTCTGAAGCTAACTGAAGCTAACCTAGCCTTAGGATACTACATCTTTAATTAACTGTATTTTGCTTTATTCATAACATTGGTTATGGACTGTAAGCACAGATCCTGTCCTGCCTATAGCCTTAAAGGCTCAGCCCTTTAAGTCTATTGCTAGTGAACTCTCAGGCATCCCAATGATGACTTGGCGGGAAAATTTGTCGCCCCACACTCCGGCTGCCAAGACCCAGTCTGGCCTTGTTTTCCAGCCACGACAACGTACCTGTCTGGAGCAGCAACCGATCCACTGAAGCTGAGAGCACCTGTGTCCACCTATGAGCGCATCATGGAGGCAGTGTAACTAGCAGCTAGTGGCTCCGGCACAGTTAGGCCTTTAGCGCTTGCCATCCTTTGAATTATTTCAGGCAGAGCATGTATGAGTGCACTGATCACAGGGAGAGGGGTGGTCACTGACATTGGGATGCGTGAGAGTCCACTAGTGATAGCCTTAAAGGGCGAAGCCTATACAAAACAGAATAAAATTTACTATAAATATGAGAAGTTGGTTATTGTTCTGCTAACTATTAGATTAGGTCACAAATGGTCACAAATGTCTTAGGGAGTTTTCTATTTTTTTTTTATATACAGTAGTCCCTCGCTACTTCGCGGTTCGTTTATCGTGGACTCGCTCTATCACGGTTTTTCAAAGTAAGATTGAACATGACACACAATTGGCTGATTGGATGAGCTGCACGATCTGCATGAATTTTTAATTTTTAATTAATTATGTAAATGATTTAGCATCTGTGTGCAGTCCACAACTGTGGGAAAAGCTTCCTCCTGTAGCTGATCAGCTGATCTCTGTGCAGAGCGGAGAAGTGGGCGTGGCCCAGAGTGCAGCCAGAGATCTAAAATCATGACATTCTGTGGTCTTTTAGAGCGTATAATCTACTACCGGTACTTACTACTTATACTACTATTCCTATTTTGCTGTTTTTCACTTATCGCAGGGCTTCAGGGTATGGATCCCTCGTGATAAATGAGGGACTACTGTAACCAGTGTTTTGGTTTTATGGGTTTAAAGGTGCTCTCTCTCGTCATAAACTAAGACCTGCATACTTAAAACCCTTTACATGTTACTTGGGAAACCTGCTGATTTACTGTAGCACGATGTAAAGTAAAGACAAAGGACAAACACAAGAAATGTGTTTAATTTCACTGATATACTCAAAACAGACTCTCCATCTGAATTTAACGCAACACATAATTTTGTGTATATTTGACATGACTTTGCATTGTTTTTTTTTTTGTTTTCTCTGTCTGCCAAAGATGGCTCAATATAATTTCAGAGGTAATCACAGCTCGAGAACAATGAAGGGTGTGGCGGTAAACAGTGCTAAATGTAGCAAAGTAATGTGGTAACAAAAACAGCTGTCTCAAAGGAATGAAAATCTGTAAGATTTATATGTAACCCTCTGGATATCTTAATAAGCTCAGTTGAGTAAGCCCCTTAATTATTCATTTGAAGGGTTGACAAGAAGAAAT